CCTTCCTCCTTTTTAGGAGAAGGAGATTTCTCCTAAAATCCCAAGCCTGATGCTGCCCTAAAGGCCCTCGTGGAGGCCCCTCGTGGAGGCCCCTCGTGGAGGCCCCTCGTGGAGGCCCCTCTACCCTCAAGGACAAAACACCAGAGCGCTTTTTCGGGGTTTTCACCCCATTTGCAGCCCTGGGTGGTGCCTTGACACCCAGCACCTGAAAGGGCCCGGAAAACTCCCACAAAGACATAAAACCACGACAATCCATTAAAAACCCAGCATTTTTTTTGGACCCCACGGGCCAAAACCGCTCCTTAGTGCCTAGACCTAAACTCCCAAGCCTCAAGCGCTAACCCAAAGAGAAGCAAAACCCCAAGCTCCTCTCACCTCTAATCCAGCCCTAATCCAGCCTATGTCCTTCCGTAGTCTTGCTTAAAAACCTTCCTCTTTGTCCTAAAGCAACAATGCAAAGCTGGGCCGAGCAGAAGACCCTCGAGGGCTGCTGGTGTTGAGGCCAGCTCAAAGCTCCTGCAGCTTAGGAAAGCTCCTGGGCCTGGCTAGGAAAGCGAGAGCTGAAGGAGCTCCTAGACCTGGGTTTATATAGGCCTGAGCCCAACCCTGCCGTGATCAATGCAAACAGCTGGGCAGTATTAAGGAGAAACGGGTGGAAAAAGAGTCAGTGGAGGGAAGGAGATGTTGGGCAAGAAAGAGAGGGATTGGGGCAGGGAGAAACGGAGGTATAGGGATTCCAGGGGGAGGATTAGTGGGGAGACAAGAAGGAAATACGGGAATATGAGGGAGAGATCCCCAAGGAAAATAATTCTTAGCGTAAGGGGGAGGCAGGGARTTTCTCTGGCCTCCCGTGGCCTCCGTGCACACGGTGCTGGGGGCCCCGTCGTGGCCGGGGGCGGCCCCGTGGGGTCTCCGCGTCCACGTGGTCGCGGGGGTGCTGGGGGCGTCTCTGGAGCCACGGGGGACTCCGTGTCCATGAGAGCCAAGGGGTCCTAAAAGTTCATGTGGGACTCACGGAGGCCGGGGGGCCAGCTGCGCATGGAGGCCCGTGGAGGCCGCACCAAAGATCGGAGGTCGGGGGAGACCAGCTGTGCATGGAGGCCCGGGGAGGCCGCACCAAAGATCGGAGGCCGGGGGAGACCAGCTGTGCATGGAGGCCCAGGGAGGCCGCACCAAAGATCGGAGGCCGGGGGAGGCCACTTGCACATGGAGGCCCGGGGAGGCCGCACCAAAGATCGGAGGCCGGGGGAGACCAGCTGTGCACGGAGGCCCGGGGAGGCCGCACCAAGGTCTGGAGGCTGTGAGGGGCCACTTGCACACGGAGGCCCGGGGAGGCCGCACCAAAGATCGGAGGTCGGGGGAGACCAGCTGTGCATGGAGGCCCGGGGAGGCCGCACCAAGGTTTGGAGGCCGGGGGAGGCCACTTGCACACGGAGGCCCGGGGAGGCCGCACCAAAGATCGGAGGCCGGGGGAGGCCAGCTGTGCACGGAGGCCCGGGGAGGCCGCACCAAAGTTTGGAGGCTGGGGGAGACCAGCTGTGCATGGAGGCCCAGGGAGGCCGCACCAAAGATTGGAGGCCGGGGGAGGCCAGCTGTGCATGGAGGCCCGGGGAGGCCGCACCAAGGTCTGGAGGCCCATATGTGGGGGGGTCCTGTTGCCCCTGTGAGGGTAAATACCCTTGGGGGGGGCCCTTA